TTGTGTTTTCGGGTGTCGTGTCGGTGAGGGGTAGATCGTGTGGTTCAGTGAGTGCATTGAAGAGCACCGCGTCTGGGTGATCCAGCCTGGGAGTTGGATACCCCATGGAGGTGAGTGTGCCAGCTATCTGTTCTCTAGTGATAGGCCGTGCTTCGCTAGAAACACGGCGTAGCCCCTATTCGTCCGCTATAGAGTCCTTCGTAAGAGCGTTTGCTGGTTGGTCGGATTCAAGTGGGTGGGATTCAAATGCGTTGACMCATGCTTCACGAGTTAGCTCATGTTGAGTTTTGTCGATAGCCGTGTTTCCCAGGGTGGATTCCAGAAGTTTGACTACGTTCTTCATATTCATTCGATGATGTTTGTCTGCATTTGTCTTGAATGTATCTGGTTTCATTTTTGAGTACTGTTGGGCATGGTGGAGCTGTGGGCCAAAGCGACAGACTTGGTCACCAATACTGTGTCCATAAGTGTGACAGCACGGACACTGTACTTTGTTCTTGTACTCAAATTTCTTTTGTGGTTTGTCCAATCGGCAGATGTGAGGCGTCGCGGGTTGGTGCTGGTATATCATTGGGTTGTTGGGATAATCAAGAACTGTCTCAATCATTGATGTTAATGATAGATGTGACGGCACCGGTTTGCCATCGGCACCAGGGTTTTCACGCTTGTGGGTGCTTAGTGTGAACATTAGGTAGTTGCCTGCAGAGTGATTGTAATGGTTCATTATGCGTGTTGCATACTCAAAGCATATGTCTAATTCCGAGTATGTATGTTTGTGAGCAAGATGACTGATGCGGACATGGTCAAGAAGCTTCCCTGCATATGTTCCTGGATCATCTTCGGAGGTCCAGTCAGGGCCCCATCCAGTTGTGGTGGGTCTGAGGTATATAAGTGAGTTGCGTGCGATTGCATAAAGGGCTTCATATCCTTTCATTCTGTGTTGATACGGACTCATGAGGCCTCGCAGTTTTGAATGATTATGAGGGTCAATCATTTGAGTTAGTCTTTGGTAAATGTGTGTACCAATCTTACGTATGTTGGCCTCTGTTTCTTTGTGGTTGGGAGGAAGACACGATCTGTATATGTGAAGTTCATCAACATGAGTGAGGGGAAGACTCTCCAGAGTCATGAGAGTGTGGAGGTCGGTATACAGTGCCGTAAATTCTGCAGATGTGAGGTATCTGTTGTCATGTGGAATGAGGTTAAGATTGATATGTTTGTGTTCCATTGCATTGATAGCCTTACTGATGCGGTGGTTCCGTTCATGTTCGGCATCCCGGTCGATTCTTTCCTGTCGTGCATAGACTTTGCTTGCACAGGATCGGAATCGAGGTGCCACCATGGGAGGTTCTTGTTCTTCCGGATCACCGGTGTTGTCAGGGGTCGATGAGTGCTGGTGTGAAGTCGTGGATGAATGAGCATATGTATTGTTTTTGTTTTTGTTTTTGTTTTTCAAGGTGGTATTAACGTATGGAGAGTGAATGGTGGGATTATACAGGGAAGTATCATCCTGACGAATAGCATCCGTTACATGTAGGATGAGCGTGTCCTTAAGGGTCTCTGATTCGGTGACTAATTTCGTGAGGGTGTTGTCCACGGTCTTATTGAATGTCTCAGATTCCAGTACTTGAGTGATGGAATTGGTTAGAAGACTTCGAATCTTATTGGATGTAGTTGGCGAGTGGAGATGAGTATCAACGGATACCTGGATCTCTGATTGTGCTTCGGATTTTGCCAGTGCAATTGTATCCTGAGCATTGTCGGTTTCCACATGGATGGATGATACCATTTCAGTGTGTTGTAGTTGGAGATTACTGAGATGGGTCTGAGCAGTTTGTTTGATGGTGTTTTTAGTGTGGGTAACATCAGTCTTGAACTGCTTAGTGATGTTATCGATCTGCGGTTGAAGTTCCGTAAGGACTGTGGATGTGATCTTATCTTTAATACTTTGAATGATGGGCTCTTTGGTGGTTGTAAGACTATTGATCTTGGCCCTAACCAGTGAATGGATGGTTGCTTCCAATTGGTTGGTGTGTTTACGTGTGAGTGTGGAGGCTTGGTGTTCAATGTTGGTGCTGAATGCTGTAAGTTCAGTATCAATAAGATCCTTAATTTGTCGACGAATATCTTCAGCGTTGGGTGTTTTTGATGTGATACTGCTCGTTTCATTGCGAGAGGATGTCAGAGCGATGGTGCTATGTTTGAGGGAGCTCAGGACAGTGGATGCCCGTTCGATTCGTTGGTCTAGAGCCCATGTTGTAGAGGCTGCCGTAGAGAGATCTTGTGTGAGTGCTTGATTATGGGCTATAGATTCATCTAAGAGCTTTCCTTGATGAGCGAGCTGTTCTTTAAGTGTTTGAATGGCCTGTTGTGCCTCTGTGAGGTCCCGTTGTGCTCGGATGAGCTCATTGGTTTTTAATTGGATGGTTGAGTCATATTCAGACTGTAAGTCTCTCAGTGTGGTTGTGATTGTTTCAAACTGATCCGTCCATTCAGTGTTAACAGCTTTCATTTGTGTGGTCCATGTATGTTCCTTCTGTGTGATTGCTCTGTCAATAAGTGTTAACATATGTGTCTCATCTATACTTGGTTCTTGTTGTTGATTCGGATTGCTTGTCATTTCGGTTTGTTTTTCGTCCGTATCAGTGGTATCGAAGCTATCTTTTATGTCATCTAGTTCTTGATCAATGGTACGGAACTGGGCATTGTATGCATTGATTTGATCAGTTACAGATCTGTTATTATCCTCATCCTGAGATAGGTTGTCGGTGTTGTTGTCCCTAGTGTCGCCTGGATCTTGATTTTTAGCTTGGTGATATTCCTGTGCAAATCGCCTGTGGAGATCACGTGGTGGGGCTGGGATCACGTGGTGGGGCTGGGAGGGAGTCGTTGGAGTAATTGGATTTTTCTTCGTCCGTATCCAAGTTGTCTTCCGCATTCGTGTGATCTGTTGTCCTCGTTGCGACTAGCAGTGATGCTGGTGGGTCCTTGAGATCTGGTTCCGGGCTAGAATCGTCTAGCCGTTGTGGGGGTCTGGACTGCCGGCGTTTGGTGATAGCTTGTGGTGGGGTGTCCGTGGACKGTGGTAGTAGAGTGTCCAGATAGGAAAGGAGTGCTTTACTGTATTTGTAACGGGAGGGTCCGTGTGGGCTGGTGTTGATTGGTTGGTGGAAATGATCGCGATGGATAAGTTCCTTCAAGTATTCTCCAAGCATTACAATTTTATTGGTTGCGGGGAGGGCTGTGGTGTGTATGTTTTGTATGCATTGGAGGAATTCCGAGTGTGTGGGAGTGTATAATGGTTTGAAGAGGAATAGTGGGCCATCGTATATGTGGAGGGTTGCATCCATTGGGAATGCCAGTTCCAGTGCCCGTATCTCCCTTTGGATGGTCCCATTATAGAATAGGGGTTCTAGTCGGTCCCTCTGAGCCGCTGTGAGGTTTCTTCGAGGGGAAGATACCAGGAAATCCCGTATTTGCGGAGTTTGGGGAGATTTGGTGTCCTTCTTAGTAGCTCCTTTCTTCGGTTTGCGTTTAGATGTTGCCATGGCGGGGTTTTCGTTATCTAATGAGGTAGTTTGTGTTGTGACAGGATCTTTGGTGTCAACAGCACTTCGATTGTTGAATGGAAGAAAAACTGTACCGTAGAATGCTACGTGATTTAGTACGAGGTTCTCTTTATCCGGGTCTTTTTCCGAAAAATTTCCCGGGGATAAAATACCCTGATCGTAAAGCTTCTGCTCCGCGTCAGAGGTGGTTGATGTAGTAAATCAGTCTACTCGATGGTGTGGGTTGTTGCTGATGATGGTTAGTGAGCTGAGGTGAGTCTCTTTGTTGCTCATAACCTGTGAAATGTTGATAGGCTCCTTAGTGTACGTGAATACGTGGTTTACAATAAAGAGTGAGGTTATTCACTATCTACTCGTGAATGTGTACTGTCTCGTGTAAGTGTACTGTCTCACAATAGTATCCAAATTGTTTATGAAACAAGCTTCTAGGAACACGACAAAACAACATGGCAGAGTATGGTTGGATGTATAACAAGATAGATCATATCTTTGAGCAGTTCTGGAGAAAGCTTGTTGCTGACTCTCAATTGAAGGTTGTGCTGGGCAAGGCTTTCTATATCCATAGTAGACAGAACATACCACCATGATGACCCAGCTGGTGGGTGGTGGAATTTCTACAAACCAGCAAGAACAAGAAGAAAGAAACTTATGCCTGACAGCTATCACACAGGAAATAATCAAAGGGGATTTCTACTAGTAGTAATAGCAGTGTCCCCATTTGAAGGAAAAGAAGGTTCCATTTGAAGTTTTTGGCTACTACTAGTAGTAGTACTAGTACTAAGACAAATGCCCTTTACCTCATTTTCCTAGTCACATGACAAACCAGATAGGGCGTAATTTGCATTTTACACAGTCAACACCATCAAGTTTTCTGGTCCTACCTTTAGATGTTTATTGAACAATTAATATATCAAACTTCTATTTTTATTCTGTTTGCCTAGAACATGTTTTCTTGATTTGGCACTCACTACTTGTTAACCTCCATCTCACCCAACCMAGTGATGAATGCCTGAAAATTACTTCTCAAAGAACTTGTAACATTTTGCTTTCCTCATTGTCACAATTGTATGGGTTTCTGCACCCAAATAACTTCTCCTCTCCCCACCTGTTGATACTAGCCAAAATGGCTCTGCCTAAGCTCAAGCTTTTACTATGTCAAAACTGTCATTGGTCCCAGGATAGGAGGACCCAGCATCTGATATTCTAATCTTTTTCTAGCATAGTACAAAACAGAACAAAAAACAGGAGTCATCACATCCACCAAACTTCTGACTCATCTTGGTGAACAGAGTTGGATTTGATTTCACTGTTATCGTACTCTTTGTGGGGACGGAGTCAACACTTTCAGTGCTAGGGCTTAGTTCTGTCTGTAACTTGTTGGACAGGAACTGTTATAAGTTCAGTCACTGCCTGAAGACATAACACACAGACTATGGCTAGAAAGAATTAGTACAAGGGTAAGTTGAGCAAGGTTAGTACAGAAGTTGTGAGCCATAGAAAAAGAAGTCTTTGGGTCTAACAATTTTGTTTCCCTCCTGGTTGCAGGTAGAAGACAAAAAATGGTTTGGCTACTAGGGCTACTTTTCTTAGGGGAAATTATTTCATACTAGTAACACAATGTGTTATTTGTGTTGAATCAAGAACACAGACAAAATAATACACCAGAGTTCAAGTAATTTGTTAGATGATTTCAAGTGGAGAAGATACTATAAGTACATTTTAGTGCAACAGAGGAAACATTTGTACTCCTGTTCTTGTACAACAACTACAAGTTGTGGAATAATTTTGGGAATAGAAAGACAACAGAAAAATAATTGGATAAGAGTCTTTTTGACAATGCTGAAGAATTGTTGGGCATGGCAGTACAATTAGTTAACTTCTTATGGCTGATATTATTAGTTGAGAAACAACAAACAACAACTGGAGCTACTAGAATAATATTAAATGTGGTACTGCAGGTTTATTGAAAATTAGAGAGAGTTTTTGCACGTCAGGAAAAAATTAGGAACTAAGAACATAGGAATCCAGAAGTGGTGTCAGAACAGAATTTTATAGAGATATCAAATTATTTGTCATCAGGATAATGTTGCTGGAAGCATCACAGGGGAATAGGATTAATTTGTTTTGCTTTTTTAAGTGTTCTTCAGAAACTTGCTGGAATGATGGTTAACTACTAGTATCTTCTTGTAAATGCTGCTGATGAAGAAAAAACATACTAGTAAGAAGAACCTCTCTTAAATTGAGCTTGAAATTCATGCTGAGAAATGTGTGGTGCAAGAACATGCTCCAGGGAAAAGTGCCCTGAGTTTCCTCATGTTCATGAATCACAAAATGCCCGCCATTTTGTTTTGGTCCACGTAGGAAAAAGGAAACAACTCTATAATATTGGTTAGTACTAGTAGTAGTAGTAGTAGTAGTAGTAGTAGTAGTAGTAGTAGTAGTAGTAGTAGTAGTAGTAGTAGTAGTAGTAGTAGTAGTACTAGTAGTAGTAGTAGTAGTAGTAGTAGTAGTAGTAGTAGTAGTAGTAGTAGTAGTACTAGTACTAGTACTAGTACTAGTAGTAGTAGTAGTACTAGTACTAGTAGTACTAGTAGTAGTGTGATGCTCTTCTTTTACGATTATCAGACTAGTAGTAACTGACCTGCAGGAGCCAGCATCAAGAGCCAAATCCTATTCACCACCTGCTTTACTAGTACTACTAGTAGTAGTACTATTCTTACCAGTACTACTACGTTGAGAACAACAACAACAACAAGAAGAAGCAGCAGGAGGAGATTAAAGGTTTCTGGCAGCACCACCAGGAGCCTCCTCCTCCTTCTTCTTGTTGTTGTTGTTCTTAGTACTAGTACTAGTAGTAGTAGTAGTAGTAGTTACGCACTTGACTTACTTCTTGTTGTTCTTGTTGTTGCTTGTAAACAGCAGTCAAGAGAATTTATGCTAAATTTCAACTGTTACTACTACTACTAGTGGTAAGAAGAGGACAAAAAGAAATGGCAATAACATGGATTTTGATTCATTTGACTTTGCCTTTGCAGAAGCAATAATCAAGAAGAACCACTAATAGTACTGGCTGGTGCTAGTAGAAATTGAAAGAGATGTCTTTCCCTCTAAAGGTGCCTTCGGTTTTCACAGTAGCACGTACCGTACTTTAGAAACGACATAGTACTCTTGTGAGTAAAGCAGGAAAATATCGAAACAAAAACATCAACCAAGTTCGTTTGCCGTCTCCCATTTATTCTATCCGTGGAGACAATTTTTGACATGTTCCGATGGAATTACGGACACAAAAGATCGAATAGCGCACAATATTCACACATCAAATCTATACAGCTTCAAAAACTGATCATACCTGCAGCGTCAACCATCAATTATGCCTCAACCAGCTTCTGCCATCGTAGAACCACGCCTTGCCTGCCGGTCGGACCGGAAGGAAGATCCCATCGAATGCAGTTTGCACACGTTGCCGAAACCCCTGATGAGAGAATTCCAGCATGTTTTCGGTGATAAATATCTCAGAAACGACGACGGGGATGATGAGATGAGGGGAATCGGTGACGTTTCGTCGGCATCGGCATCGACATCGACGTTGTCGGCCGAACTGTTGGCAATCCCCACCAATCAGCACGCTCGGCACGATTTGGTAGCTATTGGAGACCACATTGAAGCCGAAAAGGATCGGTTGTTGAATTGCGTACGTATTATATTGCAATGTATGTAACGTTGTGGACATGCTCATGGAAACATTGGTGATCTTTCCAACCATTTACAAACAGCATGCGTTTCAATTGAATTAAATAACGTGCTTACGGATTTTCTCTGTCGATTTTTTAAACCAAGTTTTTGGAATTTGGAGAAGAAGTGTGCTCCAAGATTCAGCAAGCAGGCTACTGGGCTGACTATATCGATCCATGCTCCGGCCTTCCCATGCTGACAAAAAATTGCAACAAGGTGTATTCTGAGGTGGATGGGATGGAGTGCTTGTTGAATTACAGGGCATACAATGCTGGCTTTTGCAAGGTGCTGACGCATCCAAGGTGGGGAAGTGCAGTATACCCGGCAACTATCTTTTGCTACGCTCCGAGGGATGTTGTCGCTCAGATACTTAATGCACATTATATACAATAAGAATGATTCAAGAATTGAACCACATCAGCATTTTTACTGGAAAATGCTCTGTTATTTGTGCATCTACAAGAACATAACTTTATTGATTACTCATAAATTCCATAGGTACTTCCTTCTTGTCAAACAATCACGTTTCATTTTGCTTCATATTCTCCCCTATCGTCCTTGGATGGGAAGAGGCTCATTGTCATCATCCGTGTAAAATCTTCGATTCCCACTACTTCATTCCCATTGCTATCACTGCCACCACGGGCCCGGTCGATCATTTCCTGCAATTCTCCTCTGGTCATGTCGTGTTCTCCCAGTTCTATGGCAATTCTTTCCAGATCATCTATGGTGATATACCCCTTCCCTTCTGTATCGAACAATTCAAAAACACGAGAAAAATGTTGGCTACTCTGATTCTCCTCACCCTTGTTGTCAAGAACGATGGAATTTGTAATAGTCGTGCTGGCCATCAATTGTATGTATTCGTCCATGTGAAGGGTATCTTCATCTGATAGTTCTGACAAATGATACGTTAGCCTATCCAAATAAGGATACTTGGTTCCTGCTGTAGATGATTGTTGTTGCTGCTGTTCCTGCTTGAGAACCGCTAGAATACTCCGTAAATCTCCTACTTGGACATTGCCTTCTCCGTAGATATCAAATAATTTGAAAGATTCTTCCAGATCATAGATCTCTGCCTGAGAAAAACCAGTGGAATGAAAAAAATTGTTGCTCCGTATCGGAACAGAGGATTGATTGGAATGGAACGTTACGTGTTGTTCGCGTTCACGTAGTGTAAGAGATGTATTTGTCTTCATCGACCTACTTGGCACATTTTCTTTCAGCGGTGACAATCGAGGTCTATCACGCCCTAGCTTTCCTCCCGCAGCAGTTTTTCCCTGTTTGTTGGATTTGTTCTGCGATCGTCGCAACGAAGCACCCGCCCTGCCAAGAAGAAAGCGGCCTCGGTTGTTATTGCTATTGCTGGTGTTACTTTTCATCGGCTAGCAGTTCCGAAACGCAACGTCATATGCGGGGAGAGAAAACGAAATACCAATTGGGAAGACAACAAAAGTCAAATATACTTGAGACAATAGATCTACAGATCAAAATACCAAAACAAGTCTTTACTTACCATTGTGATGATGTTGCTGAGTCAATACAACAGTATTTGAATACCTACCGTACTGCTTCTTCGTTTACTGTATCTGTTTTATTGATCCAGAAAACTTATTTTCTCTCCTGTGCACTTCTGGAATCAGCATCACGTCAAGCAATGCTCATTCAAAGAATTGATGAATCCCGAGAGAGGGTTGCGATCTCAATACTCTCAATATTAACATGCGACTTCTTTCCTTTCGTTCTGTACCAGTACTACGAACGATGTAACGGCACGGTGCTTAGTTGCACTTCGAAATGAAAAGGAAAATTCAAAAATTCCCGATCGAGCGTAGCAAGCCTCTTCAATTAAGAACGGCCAATTCCCCTTAAATATTCCCCTTAAATATGAGTCATACTACCGGTAGTACGTCTTACGAAGTGCATCACTAATCAATACTATCGTACCGACTACCGCCGTAACTTACGATTACGGCGCGTACATTCTGTTCTCTATCGGTACCGTACGGTACGTCAAATAGAACAGACGATGCTGATAGCAGTTCTTTGAATCTTCGAGATGCCGCCGATATGAATACATCAATACTCCATACATCCACGCAGAGAAACAAAGCACCTACTATTTCATTGACACTCTCAGCACTTGCCCCCTTCTAGAGCAAGTATTTATTCCTTTTCAGTAGTTCATTACATCATCAAAGCCACGTTGTAACACCATGATTGCTTCGGCATATTTTGCGATCACGATGATGCTAGCCATAACATCGTCGTCTCAAGGATTCCATTTACCGGCAACAACTGCGAGTAGAAATACAGTTGGATTTTCGGAATTGTCCAGCACAGTTGCTCAAGCGAGTAGCAGTAACACTTCTTTACAGATGATTTTTGGGAGGGGGAACAAGAGCAACAAAGAGGAAGAGGAATACATCCCGGGGAAGAAAATGACGGTAGCCCGGCGCAAAAAGCTCGGAATCAACGACGACGAAGAGGAATACGACCTGGAAATGGCATTGGACAACAGCACGGATCCGTTGATTACCAAAATCATTGCCGGAAGCTTCATTCTCGCGGTAATAGCCTTGCTGGTATTTGGGCTTGTTATTCCAGCTACTACCGATTACGGGGAAGGCGTTTGCAATCCTTTGCTCACAGGAGGGCGATGCTAAGTGCTGTGCGATTAGCCACGAAAATATCGTCGCTGCCTTCCAGTACACAACAAAATCGAATTCTGTTGGTCGTGTTAATGGGAGTACAGATACCGCTAGCTATGAAAATTAAAAAAAAAATGGATAATTAATGTCACAACACAAACGCCCTACACCCATAGAGTAGCATAATCGTCGCATATCTTCCAACACTCGATTGCATTCTGTCGGATTTGAGCTTAATCTCTCACTTTATTTTACATTGGTTGTACGTCTATCCATACGGCATTTGTGGTCGTAATTTACAAAAAATGCGCGATTATTTTTATTTCAAACCACATCCATCTAGATCGGTAAGGGCACCGCCCAGTATGTCCTTGTTCTTGACCTCCCGACGCCGCGACAGAAAAGCGTCATATCCATCCATCGAGTTGAGTTGCGTGCTCGTCATTGGATTGCCGTGTAAGTTCATATCGATCAACAACGTGTTTGTCCAGAGTTCTTCCGGCAAGGGTTGGGGAGTAGTTGCAGACGAGATGTGGTTGTTTCGCAGTGATAGGGCCTTCAGTCTTTTTAGTTTTCCGATGGCCGGGGGCAAGCTGACAATCACATTGCTGTCGAGATTCAAATCGTTAAGAGCTACTAAATTGGCGATGCTTTCCGGAACTGTAGCGAGATTGTTGAAGGAAAGATCGAGTTTTTCTAATAATTTCAAAGGGTTGCTGTTGTTGACAATGCTCCGGGGTATCGTGGTCAGCGAGTTGTTCGAAAGCAGTATTGTTCTAAGGCCTTTGGGCAATGGAGTTGGCAATATGTCAGTATTTTTCGCAGTACTGGGAGCTGCAGGAGCTTTGCTGTTTTTGTTGGTGACAGGACGACCTAGTAGATTGTTGCTTGCAGAAAGTGTCTTTAGTTTTGTCAACGATGATATAGGAGTCATACTTCCAGGCATAAGCTTATTGTTGTCTACATTCAGTGATTTGAGAACTTTCAGAGTCGATAGTTTTGGATTGAGTTTCACGAGCTTGTTCTTAGACAGATCGAGCGTCGTAAGCTTTGAAATTCTTTGAGAGAGGAAATTGTTTATTCAGATGCGAAGTTGAAAAAGTGAATCAAGCGAGCTTCTTACTAGCAAACACAGAGAAGCTTATCAAGTTTATTCGTTTGATAGATTCAGGATAAATTTAAATGCTGAACTTACTCAAATACCTGATTGGGACATGTTTCTAATTTGTGTTCACAAAGCGAAAGAACTCCGGTTTTTTTTGCGTTCTCTAATTTTTGTTCGACGACCTTCCGACCAGTTTTGTTTTGAGGATGGGAGTTTCCCATGGTTTCTCTGTTGGTTTCTTTCTGCGTTCACAAAGACTGAAAGTTGGTTCACATGCAACCGAAAGCTTTGGTTTCAACTGATCAAGATTGCAGACGAAATGAGTGAGATGTGGTTTTCAACCCAACTTGATTTCCCTAAGGCTACAGGTTCACTAGTGACAGTTGCGGTATGAAATCCCTTGCCGTTGGGATTTAACGAAAATGTTGCAGATCGCATACAACGAACAATTTACAAATTTACAAATACAGTAACGACTTAATAACGTTAACTAATGACGGAGATGCAAGTAAATACCAAATACCGTACAATACGAGTACAAATTAAAAAGAAAAGAAAAATCCAAAAAATAATTCAGTACAAACTGTACTTCATACTTAGGACCGTACATAGTACTAGGTACTTTAATAGGTAATACCGTACGATACGATATCTAACGCGATAAGTGTACGGGTAGCCGGTGTGGTTGGTGTTGCGATCTGATCGATCACTCTATTATTCCAGCTCTTACTGCTGTATTCGTTCCACCGCGTTACAACCGAGCATTGATTTCAATCGTTCGTTTTCAAACAAAATCAGGGATGATTGGCCACAAAATCATGCAGAACGATGATGGCAATCGTGGTGTTGTTGATGACAAGATTCCTACCGATATTGCAGCTGATTCTGGTGCCGTAACGGTACCAAGCACCCAGACTGCTACCAGCGAAGACCGCATTGTGGAATCACTCTATCGCCATGTCATCGAATCGATGTGTCAAGACGTAGCGTCGAACATGCACGAGTTGATCAAAACTGGAGCGGGCGATGTAGTTCCGTCGTCGTGGAAATTGTTCATGGGAACAAAAATACCAACACGAAGGGAATTGTATCCAGAACTCTACAATGGAAGCGATTTTAACGCTGCGAGCGAAGGCAACAAAAATGAAGAAGATACCAGGGAAGGAGGTGATGAAGCGGGTGAGAATATGGACCCTAAAACCCTAAATAGAATAAGGATGACGGACGAAGAAATACAAGGCCTCCTCGACAAATATGCTGTGGATCTTCCAACTTCATCGTCATATTCGAATGTATCACCGACAGTGAGTAGAAAGAGGCGCACGCCACGGGATATGGCAGAGGAGGAGGAAGAGCGCCGTTTGTTGTCCAAAATTAAGAAGGGAAAGGAAAGCAACTACAAGGACGATAGTGAAGACATCGAGGATGATGTTACGAATGGTGACGACGACGACGACGACGACGAAGACTTCAAAATGGATGATGCAGAGGGGGACGACGATGATGACGATGATCTAGGTGGGGCGCAGAAAAAGAAGCGAACGCTGTCGTCCTCTTCGGCTACACCTTCTACAGACTCTATAGCAGAACCAGCAATAACTACCGATCTACCAAGCAGCAGTTCTAACAGCATTAGCAATATCAACAGCCACCATCCAAAAACAGATATATGGGGGAAAACTCCGTCAAAGGAACCCAAAAATCGTCTCTGCCTATGCCAGCTATGTGGTCGACTTGTTAGCACGTCTCGGTTTGCGAGTCACCTCGATAAGTGCATGGGCTTGTCCACGAGCCGAGGAGGACCCTCGTCAATATCATCATCCACGGCCAGCGCGAAAAATATGTTATTGTCGTCAGGAATGCTCACGAAAAAAGCAAAAAGGGGAAGCTCACTTACGAAGAAGTAATGCAAAAGGCACAAATAACTTCTAAGGAGATCTGAACATTACGGTTGGTTCGAGTCAAGTTAAAGCTATGGAGTGCAGCAGTTCATAAACAATCGAGTGAGTAATGATCTTTAATTTATTTTACAGGGTTTTGGTGCAACGGCGTCCATTGTTCGTCTAGCATGATAAATAGCGAGTCAGATTTTTCTTTATTTCAGACTCATGGTACAACTGTCATTAGGAAGGAAATTGCATGAACCTACCCCCGATAATGCTTGAAAGTTACTTGAAAGATCCCGAAGCAGGAGCGTAGGGAACAATACATCGTATTGCAATCATTGCCAAGCAATGCGCGGCTTCTTCTTATAGCAATGAGGGATTTGTAGAAGTCTAACGGTGAAGCGATACTCTTCTTCTAAAACGCGCAAGAAAATAACTCAGCATGCTGCGCAGAACGTTCGTTCCAGTATTCTCAATGAGTGCAAGGAATTCATCTTTTCTGCTTCGGTGATTACCACTGAAAGGCATCGCAACTTTCATCAGATCTCTTTTTTAAAACATGTTGACGACGTCTAAGCAGTCAATGCTGCCGTTCGATTGACAAACTATCCAGATGTCATGTCCAGCACGCCGCCGGAATATGGAATGTCCTCGTCGTCGTCGTAACAACCAACCAGTACTTTGAGATCTATGAGCTCGGTAGCACCGCCGGTTTGCCAGAACAAACTGGGGAGATCTTCAGGACCACGCTCGTAATAGGATCCCAGCTTCGATTGCGCAACCATTTCCCGTCCGGCCTGCAAGCCAATCACCAAGGAATCTGGACCAAAGCTTATGCCAAAGTCTGGATCATCGCGGGCGCAGGCCAATCCACCACCTCCAACCTTTCGGAGTTTTTGGAATCTTGTTGGTTCCTCTTCGTTTTTCTTGCTTCGTCGTTCGTAAAACAAAAAGGCAGCCACGGAGGGTCTTGCTCCTCCCAGCGAGGACTGACCCTTTGGATTGTAACCCCCGCATACTCTACCATTCTCATCGGTGGTAATTATCACCGACGCCCCCTTTCCATCCACTGCGCTATGGAAGGCGGTAGGATTCCAGCCATCTCGGTTGGCATCGTAGACCAGCTGTAAAGCTCTAGATTGCAGCTGGGTGTTTTTTAGCAGGGGTCGAACCAGTTTTGCTTCCGGAATATTAGCATCTTCCTCGACATATAAAATATTGAGCTCGTACGTTGCCGGATACTGTTCAGGATACTGCAATTGCCGGGCGCTCTCTGACGATTCTGATGACTTGCTTGGTTCAAACAAGTTTTCAAACCAGCCGTAACAAGCTGATGGAACACGTTGCTGTTGCTGTTTATTCTCATGCCATCTGCGATAATGATTCGTGTCTGACATGCGCTTTGACGACGACGAGCAATCCCAACAGCCAAAACCAAAGCTGCAGTGATGGAGCTGTGGGCAATTGCCCATCTTGAATCCTACTGTTGAATGTGCGCTGCTTATCAAGAGACATTGCATCAGACATAATGTAATGGAGGGTTTCCTGCTCGTCATTCTGAAGCCTGCAGAAAAGTCCGTGACGACTCGTTCGCACAATTTTGTGCTGATAGTCTATTTGTAGCAATTTGAAAGGCAACAAGAGCATCGGTGGTTGTTTTTGTTGCCGGCACTGAGTAGAAGTTCTTCTGATTTAAGCGCAGTTGTTCCCAAGTGCTCTTAGCCTGAGTTATTGGGTCATTCCCGTTATTCTAGATCTCTAAATTTTTGGTCTGTCAGTCCATCAGCATTTGGAGTTTTTGACTCTAGATTTAGAGTTTTTAGAACCGGTCGAAGCACCCGGTTCTAAAAACTCTAAATCTAGAGTGGAATCCACGAACCAA